GGGGGGGTGACACACGTGCATATGTCACCCTCAGTTCTATTGGTTTGCGGTGTTATTGCGCCAGGAGGCAGCACTCGCGACACGAAGCCTTCTTCCTAGAACGCATCGGGTGTAGCCAGTGGCGGTGGGCAGCGGCCAAGTAGACAAAACGCCCACCTGGTATTGCCCAACGACTGTGCGGCACCTACAGGACGGGGGAACCCCAGGGCGCCGTTACTGGGCACCCATCTGGGCACCCACTGGGCACCCACTGGGCAGCCACAGAGCATCTACTTCACTTGGCCGCCCCGCCCCTTTTAAAGCTATTAAAGCACTATTCACAGTCCATCTGCTTAGCACTCATTCAGGCATCTACGATACAAGATATCTACTTATATCGGTTCTGCGTTTTTCGCAGACAGTCCAAGCCATTACTAGTGGCTCATCATTCGCCATGTTTGCTAATTAAACTGAATTCAGTTGTTTCAAAAAACTGGAAATAATTTTTTTATCGGAAAAAATATACAGAAAAAGTCGGGAATATTTCGGGAAAACTCCCTCTACTAGAGCTACATACCAGCGATTTTAGGACCCTGAAGTCTATGTCTCTCTCTCTCTCTTTCTCTATCACCTACTGCTTTTTCAATCAGAGCCTCCCTTGTGCTTTCAGAAGAATAGTATCACCTCGCAACAAGGACTACTTGAATGACTCCCGCCCAGTCAATAGGCGCCCCCTCCAGGCCTCTTTTAAAAAGTCCTTCGATTGATTGTTTCGTGAATGCTGGTAAACGCTGGGGGAGTGAGCCTCTCTATGCTCTGCGGTGGGTGACCAGGCTGCGTCCGACGGCGAAGACACACTGTCTCTGTCGCTCGAACGGACCTTGAGGGGGGAGTGAGCGCGACCCGACTTGCAGGTGAGGTGGCCCCAGGTGACCGGCGCCCCAGTGGTCCAGCATGGTCCAGCCCCGGCGGGGGGCACGGCTCGCCCTATGGGCTTGCCTCGTGCCCGCAACACCTTTTGTCTCATTGTGGACACGCAGATTTAAGGTGAAGGGTGTTGTGTTTGCTCGGAGAAACGCGCGCCGGGGTGGGCGGAGGACGGACAAAGCCAGGGGGCGGAGGCTGCGGGATATAAGGTCGATGCCTACAAGGAGACGCGTACTTGAGAGCGATTCTGATAGTTTCGCGCCCACCCGGTGGAAATCACGTCAGTTCGTGATCATTCCAATTCAGAAGGAAAGTAAGTTCGGTACCCAATAACCCATAATCAAGAATAGGGGTGCTTCTCCACCGTGCGAAAAAAAATCCCCATGTATGTGGTAAACTTACAGTTTGAAATTGTAAAATTACAAGCACTTCGTATCAACCTTGGGTTTGATCGACAACCAAGAATGAGCAATGAGCAGTCGCAAATTTACAACATATCTTTTGTAAATTTTAAAAATTGCAACAAATGTTCTAAATTTACGAAGATATTTTGAGTGTCTGCTTCAAGCAGTACGTAGGCGTCCAGCTCATCCGCCCATTTAAATGTAGACATTTACCCGCATTTACCAATTCTAGTTCGAACCAATAAATCGTGCTTATCTGTGATTTTAGAACACGAGGTGAATGCGAGGGTGACCAACTCGTATAATGTTTCGTAGTTATGCTGTACCGCATGCAGGCGTCCAGCGGGCTTGGGGGCTTGCCTACCGACTCTCACCATGCCGTATGCCTTTTGTACCGTTCACGCGTTACAGTGAAACTAAATTGTGCTCCGGACCCCATGCCACCCTTGCCGTGCCACAATCACAACTGGCAGGTTCCACAGTTAAACATATAGTGAAATTCTAGTGGTTTGGTGGGCCTGGCCTGCATCTCTCATTCATATACAAAACCCAGCTGTATTTTTTCCTCCCTCTTGCGAGTACGCCTCTGTGGGTCTCTCTCATTGATGGCGTTGAGGTTAGGGCGCCCCGCCGCGCGCCCCGGCACCGCGCAGCGCCACGACTGGTCCGATAGACTGACCGGGTCCAGTTCATAATGAAACAAAGGCCCTCCTCGCACCCACAGCGCGGCCTGGGGTGCGGCGCCCGAGTGTGAGAGAGACAGAGGTGTGAAAATGGAACGAATCGAGACGCCGCTCTGTCTCTCAAACAAACGCCCACACCTGTAATGCGCCGTGTGACTACTATTTACTCACAGTCTGGTATGCGCACTACGGCGAGCAGAATGAGATTCAAACGCTCTGTCTGCGAGATCGAATCAATATCAACACGGTGTTGTTGCAGCATTCAGGTATTTAAGAAGAAAAAAGACACATAGTGTCAACTGAGTCATGGTGCAGCGACTAACACAACACTAGCAATGGACGAGCACACCCGTATTTAATAACATTTAATAACATTATGCGGTGAAGATCTCTTTGCACTTCAAAATGCAGCAGCATCACACACGCCGATGCTATGGGAGCCGAAAACGCCGTCGGAATGTGCATACCATGCTGCACGGACACAACACGGTGAAAACAATTTGTTGTAGTAGTTTTTTAAGGAAAAGGGAAAACTTTTTGGTCATTTGAGGAAAACTATATTTTCACTGGTAAAACAAGTGTGCATAATTTAAACACCAAACGTGTGCAAGTTATGATGTTGCACATTACATGGTATGCACATTTTTAAAGGTTTGCTAAACGTTTAAATTCTGCACACTTGGATACACACAGTTCTATGCTATCAATAGGAACCATATGGCAACTTTTTGGAAGTGTCGAAAGTTTAAACACCAATTGACGTGCAACATTAAACACTTAGTTTACCAGTGTTACTAATAGTATACTCATAATTTCAGGAAATAGGAATTTCCCCCTTTTTTAAAAATCCGAAAAGTTTTCCCGAGATATCCTCAAATATAGGAGTTTCTAAAAGTTCTCTTTTTCCTCAAGAGATATTAGGCAATTGTTTTCACCGTGAAGTCGGCATGCTCGATGCAACGATACGCCCTTTAACACGCGGGTATATCCTCGTCGAGTTCATTGCTCGCGCATTTAAAAGGCATTGACTTTGACCAGCCGTTGCAACGACTCCTCACACTCACCGACAAGTAAGTCTTTCTGTACGCCGCAGCTGACTCGCGCCGAAGACTGGGCGCTGCCGCTCAATGCCGGCAGAACAAAAGGCGGGCAGCTGAGAGAGACAGCCAACAGCTGACCGCCGTCGTCGTCGTCCACCTCGTGCACCACCACCACGTGCCACGGGGCGCCAAGCGGCGGCGTCCTCGCGGGGGGTGCGGGCCGGCCCCCAGGTGACACCGGGGTGACATCGCCGACACGTGTTCTCGGAAGCCGCCGTCACAAGACGCACCGCGGCCCTAGCGCGCCCCCCGCGGCCTGGGCGGAAACCATTATCGGTCCTTGCGGGGGAGCTGCGCCGACTGCGCTCTCCTGGCGGCGCTCTCCTGGCGGCACTCTCCTGGCGGCACTCTCCTATCCAGCCTTCCTCGAATACGGAAAAATATAATCGAACTCATCGTCTCAGTCGGCCGAACGACGACATGAGGGCGACCAGGGGGAGGGAAAGAGGGGGGCGACACTCGAGAGGCTGTTGGCATACACGGGGGAGGTGCAGGGCAGCAGCATCGCGACCGGAAGGAAGGAGGAAGCACAAGAGGAAACGCACGGGGCGAATGTTGCGATTCGTATTCAACAAGGGAGCTCAAGGTTTAATAGAGGGACGAGCAGCTGTTTGTGGAGTTATGGGTCAAGAAGAGTAAAGGTGGCAAAGGTCTTAGAATGAGAGTGCGAAAAAGTTGATTACGATCGGATGGAGTACCAAAAAATGGAGATTTGGACCGTTGTGTTATGCATTTAGTGAATGAAGAAGAAGAAGAACTGATAAAAGAAGAAGAACTGTGATATATACTCTTTATGTTACAGAGAA